GACACTGCTGGTTGTTCCCCAAAACATTCCCAGTCCTCCTTCCTAACAAAGCCACCATTCTCTTCCAGTGGCAACGTGCCCAGCCCCAGGGGAGAAATCAAGATTGGTCCAAGCCTCCTGTGGCAAGCCCGTTACCCTTGCCAGTGACAGGATGATGGCAATTGTGGGCGCTGGCTCTGCTCGGTGGCCATACGGGGAGTCTTCTGAGAGGTGCTGGGAACTTCCCCCCTCTGACTCAAACAAAAGAGAAAGCCTCTTGAGAAGAGGACTCTTTCTCCTGCCTCCTTCCCTTCTACCTCGGTTACTCTTGTATGAAGATATAAGCTTGGAGCTGCAGCAGCCATCTTGACACCATGAGGAAAAGCCAAGAGACTGGCAGACACTGACCCGGACCCACTGGTGGCCGACTCACTGAACTAACTCAGAACTGCCGACTAACTTCCAGGCTCCTCTGGTTACACAAGATAATTCAATGACTGTATTGTTGAAGGCACCACACTCAGCTATTCCGCTACTCACCATCAAAAGCGCACTTAATGACCAACGCCTTCCTCTATATTATTGTATTTGCTTGTCCCTGCACAGGTAGTTGCGAGCTGCACATTAGGAAAGAGGTTGAAGAGGTTAGATGTTACTACCACAGCTAGTAAATGGTAGGACCGGAGCCCTTCTCTGCCTGCTGGGATAAATTCATTCAGTTCACAGATGACCCAACCTCAGAAGCCATGCCGTAAACCTTCGAAACCAGTATGTAAAGGTCCCATTCAAACATTTCCAAAATACGTTTGTGAAAGAAATGCCCTGACAGTTGGCTCGTTCTAAACATGCTGCTACTTTTTATTTTTTTAATTTATTTTTTTTAAAGAATACTTTTTTTTAAAGGATTTTATTTATTTATTTGACAGAGACACAGCGAGAGAGGGAACACAAGCAGGGGGAGTGGGAGAGGGAGAAGCAGGCTTCCTGCCGAGCAGGGAGCCTGATGCGGGGCTCGATCCCAGGACCCTGGGATCATGACCTGAGCTGAAGGCAGATGCTTAACAACTGAGCCACCCAGGCGCCCCATGCTGCTACTTTTTAAATATTTATTTATTTAAGAGAGAGAGAGAAAGAGAGGATGTGTGAGCGGGGGGAGGGGCAGAGGGAGAGGGACAAGCAGACTCTGTGCTGAGCTCAGAGCCCGATGTGGGGCTCGATCTCACAACCCTGAGATCATGACCTGAGCCAAAACCAAGAGTCTGTTGCTCAGCTGACTGAGCCACCCACACACTGCTATGTTTTAATACTCTGGTTTCTCTTCAGATTGCATAAATCTTTTGCCTTTTCCTAAACACGTTGCTATTTTATAAAGCTCCCCAAATTGCTCCCCCACCAAAAAATTAAAAGAAGAAGATGACGACGACGACGACGACGAAGAAGAAGAAGAAGAAGAAAGAAGAAAAAGAAGAAAAGAATAAAGGGAGAAAGTAAGCATGCCAGGAAGTCACCAGAAAGAAACTTTTTGGTCTGGGAGCCAGGAAATGTCAAGGAAACAAATGGAGCTACGATTGACCCTCCCGTGTCCTGTTGAGCCACGGGTTTCAAAAACTGGCTCTTTATTAACATGTTCTCCATAGGGCAGTCCTGACAAGTGGCAGGCCACCACAGAGGCCGAGAAAGCAGCATGTGATTCTGGGTTTTACGGTAATTTAACCAATACATATAGTAGTTGATGGTAGGGGAGGAAATTGAATTTTACCCTGAGTCTCTGAGTTTTTCTTGTTTTCAAACTGATTGGTCTGGACAATGGAAGACCAGGAGCCAACAATAAATCCATTGTAAGCTGGAAATGCTCTCCTCTGAATACAGCTAAATATTTCTTTAATCCTTGCATTAAATTTGTTACTGGAGTATGAAAGCTATTTTATTTACCCTAAAATTTAAGCTGTTGCAATACTGTAATTATAGGTGTAATGGGGGGGGTTGATTACTTCGGCAACCTAAGGTACCTTAAGAGCATAATATCAGATGTTTGTTGTGCATTTATATTTTCGGGTCATAAGGAAGATACTATCGTTAACGACTTTTTTATGTTATGAAAACCATTTCTTTCATTTTTGGATCATGGGAAGGGTCTTTAGTAATCCCAAGTTAGCATGAATATTCCTTTTTTGGAGCTTCTGTATCTACATTATCAGGCACATCAGCCAGTCCCCCCAAAAAAATTATGTCACAGTTCTGTTCCCAAGGGAACAAAGACATCGGGTCCCCTATTAACAGTGGCTTTTGTTGGCTTATTTTGTAATTTTTTTTCTGACATTAAAGTTGTTTGTGGTTGGCAAGGATTTCTCTTCCTCAATTTGGATGTGGTTTCTGCCTCTGAAACTCAGAAAACAAGCTTGTTGATAAAGGACAAGCTGAAGGCACCCTCACATGCATAACTACTTCAGCAACAGACTCAAAAGACGCTTCCCTGAAAACAAATCGGAGCTGAAAACCATGTTCAAGTTCAAATGTTCTTCCCTTCAGAGATTTTCAGCTCAGTATTTATTTGTCCTTCCTATGTAACGGTTCAAAAAAAAAAGTATCTTCACATCCATTTAAAGCCAATTCCCCGGGTGCCTGGGTGGCTCAGTCGGGTAAGCATCTGCCTTCAGCTCGGGTCATGATCCCAGGGTCCTGGGATCAAGCCCTGCGTTGGGCTCCCTGCTCAGCGGGAAGCCTGCTTCTCCCTCTCCCTCTACCCCTCCTCCTGCTTGGGCTCTCTCTCTGTCAAATAAATAAAATCTTAAAAAAAAAAGGGGGGTTAAAGCCAATTACCAACTCCTTGGGGGGCCCCCCCCCCCCCCCCCCCCCCCCAACCTCGGCCAGGGGCTTACATGTCCCGGCCAGGGGCTTACATGTCCCGTCCAGGGACATTAGTGAGAAGAACAGCTTGTTGCAGGAACAGACAGACTAGACCGGTGCCCTGGGAGAGAGATGGCTTCTCACAAGGGACCCCAAACAGCCAGAAGTTCGAATCCAAGTGCATTAAACCACGGCATCTCTGACATTCCACCCTCCAATCTGTGCTCCAAGCGCATACGCTCTTCAACTAACTAAACCCAACTAAGCCAAGTTTAGTTAGCTGGTAGTATAACCTGCCCATGGACGCACGTCCTGTGCTCAACGCCCGCCTGCGGAATGCTGCAGTGAATTTCAAGTGGAAATCCCCGGATGTGAAATTTGCCCTTTGCCTTTCTAACCAAGAGCAGAGAGACGGGGCCGGAGACAGAGACATGAAGTCCCACCCAGGTAAAATCAGTGTCGCAGAAGGGGGGGGCAGAATGAAGCCACTGCAGTCTCTCCCCTCGGATCCTTAAGCCTCAAGGTCCAGGACTTGCGAATCCATCCTTTTCAGCAGGGGCTGCTTTGCCAGGGCACCCGCCCTGTCCCCACCACCATCAACCTGGACACAATTGGCAAATTCCTCGTAAAAAGGTTTTACTGGGATTACTGGTTCACTCGGTCCGGGCTTGCGGTTTATTTTTACTAAGAGGGGCCTCCTCTCGGAAAGGGCTCCGGTTATTGCACTAACAGAAATGTTACTGGGCCTCCATAAATCAATTCAACACCCTGGTCTCTAGGGATTTGCGAAAGATAATGGGCTGCAATTATGGAAGCTTCAGCACCAGTCGCCAGCGGGGCTCCGGGGAGATTTCCGAAGTCTGTGGGCGCTTTGAAGACGAAAAGAAGGAAATCAATTCACGAAGCAGCAATTCTGCCCCAAACCACGCTGCTGGAGGAGAGGTAACGCTGGCTTCAATTAAAGTCATAAGGAACAGGTACCCGGGACCAGAAGGTGTGGCGCAGTCTTCTCCCATTCCCCCCGAGATTCCAAAGGCACTCAACCACGGATACACAGCGTGATACATGAATAAAGATCACAGCTCCCACAGTTGAGGGGAATCGGTAGCAACAGGCTTGGCCTACCTCTCCTCTACCTTGAAACCATGGCGCTTTTCCTGCTACAATTGAGGATGCGCCTCTGGGCAGGATACTTGGGATCCGCTTTTCCCAGGAGGAAGAGGGTGGCTCAGGCAAGGGAGGTGAGCACAACCAGGAGACCCCCTGGCCAGTCCACCTGCCTGTCTCACTTCTAAGGGGAGGGGCACTGCCGCACAAAACGTGGAGGTTTTCAGTGAACATGATGGATGGGTGAGGGTTTTGCGGCTCCAAGGGTGGCGTCTGCTTTGAAGACACACAACCGCAACCCTAGTAGAAGTGTCACAGTGTCTCATACGGCACTTCCAACGAGCGCAAGAAAATTCAGCAAGTATCTGCATCGCTTGAAACCAGAATTGAGCTTTTTTTTTTTCCTTCCCCTCATCCTACCAGGTTTCGTAGGCCCTGGGTGCGCACTCAGCTCGAAGAGCCCCAGAACACGGCATCTCCAGGATGGAGCTGCTCGGAAACAAGCCTTTCCGGAGGGAGGTGGACAGGGAAGGTGGGGCTGACCGGGTCCCTGCAAGGGCCCTGGCCGTCGCGTCCGTCCGAGGCTTCCCTCTGCCCTGGCCGCCGGCCTGCTGGGGAGCCCGCGCTTCTCCAGGTACACCAGCACAGGGCACAGTGGTCGCGAGGCTACCGGGGGCGAGTCACCCACCTGACCCTTCCCACACGAGCCTGGTCATTCGTCCGGCGGCACCGAGGAGCCAGGCGCCCAGCGCCGGCGGGAGGCGACCGGTCGGAGCGCGCACCCCCGTGGAGACTCGCCGCCAGGTCTGTCAGTTTCCAAGTCCGTAGGCTTTCCGCTCCCTCCCCGCTGCTCGTTCCCGAAACGGCCCTTCCAGCTCACGCTTCCCGCGGCCGCTGCGCCCTGGAACGCGGGCGACGGCAGGACGCCCCCCGCCCCCCCGGGGACCCGCACCCGCAGCCTTCCCCTCGACGCGCAGGCCCCGGGCGACCCCTCCTCGGGGACACGGCCGCACAGCCCGCGCCCCACGCGCACAGCCCCTGTCCCCGGCCGCCCCCGCGCCGCTCACCTCGCGCAGCAGACGCTCCAGGTGCGGCTCGGCCCAGGCGGCCAGGGCGCCCGGCGGCCCCGCGCGCCGCAGCAGCTCCCGCTCCTCCTCGAGCGCCGCCACCCGGCCCTGCAGCGCGGCCGCCTGGGCGCCCAGCAGCAGGCAGGCGGCCGCCGAGCCCACGGAGAGCAGCAAGCACAACGCGCTCACCGCCCAGGCCCCGGCCGCCGTCGCGGGGCGCCCCCCGCCGCCCGCCGGGCCGTCCTTCCGCGCGTCGCCGCCGGCGCGCTGGCCCGGGCTCATGGCGCGCGGGTCGCGCGTGGGTCTCCCAGGGGGGCGGTGCGGAGCCGCGGCGCGGGCTGGCGCGCGGGGAGCCGGCGGCAGAGCCCGAGGCACGAGGTCGGCCGGGCGCGGGGCTTGGCCTCCGGGCAGTAGCGGAGCGCGGCGCACGCCCCCCTCTCCGCCGCCAGCTTCTCCACAGCGGCCACTTTGGGCAGTTTCCTCTATGCAAATAGACCCTGCCAGAAAAGGAGCCGGGACCCACCCAGGGGAGGAGCGGCCCGGCCGGCCCCGCGCGGCGAGGGGCGGGGGAGGGAAGGGAGCTGGCTCCTCCGAGCCCCCCAACCCCCACCCCCACCTCCCGCGCGCGCGCGCCTGGCCGACCCCTGGCCCGGCGCGGACCTCTGCCTCACCTGTCCCCGGCGCCGGACTGCACCCCACTGCCGCGCGCGCACCTCCGCGGTTCTCCAGGCCCAGGTCCCCTGCGGTCCCGAGAGGACTGCGGTGCGCCCGGACCCTCGGCGCCTTCTGCAGCCCACCTCTGGCTGGAGCATCATCCGTGCCTGGGGGAAATGCCCCTACACTTGTGAATTCACCTTCCTGACACTTTTTTTTTTTTTTTTAAAGTTCAGAACTTCAAACCCCGTGGAAATATTAGTGAGTCCAGCCTGGATGGTGCCCTGGCGCCTCTCGGTGGCTGAAAGCGATCTCTGCGCACTCGCGCCTGGAGACGCAGTCCGGGTTGTGATCTCACCAAGCGGAAAGATGCCTCTTAGAAAGAACCTTAGGGCTCTCACCATTTATTAGGTGCCAGACATGTGGTCCTGGGAACAGAAATTGTAGGACCTCGCCGCTGATCTGGAGAGGGTTTGCATTTGAGAAAATCGAGACTATCACAAATAGAAAAGATGGGGGGAAAGAGCTCCAGCTTTTGTTCAGATGATGGCTTAATTCCGCAGTGGAAGCCCAGCTCGGCCCACACTAATAATCCAGTATGCACCGCACTGAGCCTATCCCGCGGTCCTGCTGCAGACTTATTTCACAGGGTTCAGGTAGGAAAGCCTGAATGTAGAATGAAGAGGCCCTCACGGTCTTTCCAAGAAAAGGAAGAAAGGCTGGAAGTCAGGCAGGGTCTCTGCCTGGTCACACATTCATTCCTACCAGGTGTATTTATATCGTAAAACGGGTCTCACCATAACACTTCCACTAAGGCCTGTGATATTCACATAAAACCACAAACTAACTGCCCGCTTGGATCTTTGTGATTTGGGCAACTCCACAACTTTTTTTTTTTGGTGAGAAAAAGACCTGTTACATCTTCCTTCTCGCTCTCTGGGTATCTGTGGATTATTCATTTCGGTGGCTAGATTACTCATCTCTGAAAACTGTTGAGGACCTCCAGCTGACATGTCCCTCCTTACTCCCTTAATTCAGAGGGTTTTGAAAACCACTTCTGAGATTGGAATAAAACAGAAGTGATTGGCGTCTTACCCCTGTGACTTCGTAGCTGTGACCTTCCTTAGGTAAATTGGGTTATGGTTAGGTGATTATACAGAGATAGATCTTGGGGCTATGCTAAAATCCGGCGTGTGCCCAATAAATCGTCTGCAAAGTACTTGCTAAGCAAACTAGATTGTCTACTCAGGAAGAGGCCAACACCAGATTGTAGGTTGGGACTTCAGTCTTACTACAGACACATGGGCTAATGGCGCATCACCTGTATTAATGTTACTGCATGTCCCCATGTTTGTAGCAGCATTATCTACAATAGCCAAATTATGGAGGCAGCCCAAGTGTCCATCGACTGTTGAATGGATAAGGAAGAGGAGATATATATATATATATATATATATATATATATATATATATATATATGATAGAATATTACTCAGCCACAAAAAAGAATGATATCTTGCCATTTGCAATGACATGGATGGAGCTAGAGAGTCTTTTTTTTTTTTAAAGATTTTATTTATTTATTTGAGAGAGAGAGAGAATGAGAGATAGAAAGCATGAGAGGGAAGAGGGTCAGAGGGAGAAGCAGACTCCCCGCCGAGCTGGAAGCCCGACGCGGGACTCGATCCCGGGACTCCAGGATCATGACCCGAGCCGAAGGCAGTCGCTCAACCGACTGAGCCACCCAGGCGCCCCGGAGCTAGAGAGTCTTATGCTGAGTGAAATAAGTCAGAGAAAGACAAATGCCATATGATGTCATTCATATGTGGAACTTAAGAAACAAAACAAACGATCATAGGGGATAGAAAGAGAGAGAGAAATGAACCAAGAAACAGACTCTTAACTATAGAGAACAAACTGATGGATACTAGAGGGGAGGTGGGTGGGGGAATGGAGGAAACTGGTGATGGGGATTAAGGAGAGCACTTGTGATGAGCACCGGGTGATGTATGGAAGTGTTGAATATATTGTACACCTGAAACTAATATAACACTGTATGATAACTAACTGGAATTTAAATGAAAACTAAAAAAAAAAAAAAAAAAAAAAAAAGCCAAGCTCATTGATCCGTTAGGCCTTTGCCCTCGCCTACTACCTCACTATCTGGAACATTCTGCTCTCAGATCTTTGAACAGCACGTTCTTCCTTCAGGTCAAGGTCCCCAGGTTCTCAAACCTCACCGGCTCTGAAGGACCTTCCCAGGCTGCCTAACCTAAGGCATCTGAGCCCACTGGCCCCCTCCAAAGGATTACTCGGGGGGATCAGGCCATTTATCACTGTTTGAAGTTACCTTTTCATTAGCAAGACCTTTGTCTTGCTCACCACTGTTTTCTCAAAAAACAGAACAGGATCTGACACATGGCTGATGCTCAGTAAATATTTGTCAAATGAATTAAGGCAAGGTGAAAATAGGTTTACTGTCTGCAGCTTTAAAAGCCAAGGAAGAAAATACTCTATCTTGTTTTTGTCAGTTGGGGTTCTAGAAGGAACAGATCACCTCCTCAGACCACAGACAGCCTGAACGTAAAGACTCTTTACAAAGGGGGCCAGCTAAAGGGAAGCCAACAGGGGATGTGAAGAAGCAACAGTGGGGAGCATTACATTCCAGCTGAAGGGGTGAGAAGGGGCTGCTGGGGGACTCTATGAACGCTCGGAGCTATAAAAAGTCTGCACGAGAGGAGCTGTGGACTTCAGTTAGGGGACAGCATGAGTTGGAAAGTGGGAGCTGGGTGGTGGGGGGGATAGTTTTAGCTCCTCCTGCTCTCTGATCTGCCAGGTCTCCTGCCTCCTGCTGACCAAACCCACAGGGCAGGGAGCCCAGATGATGCAGTGCAAGAGGTGAGCCTGCTAAAGACAGAGAGATGAAGAGCAGCTCTGTAGAGGGAAAAAAGAGAGAGAGAGAGAGACTCTCCACCACATTACCTAACACGCATATAGCACTTAGCAAGCTCAATACAGCTACTGCTGCGTCTGCATGGCTAACCTGTCAGCAACAGGTATTAATCCTCAGGGAGCCCAATTGGCCACCTGGTGGCAAACCAACTACTTTGGACTCCCTCCATCCCAGAAAGGCCAGCACTTTTCCCTCCCGGGTATAGCTAGCTATTCCAGGTACCGGCTGGTCTCTCCCATCTGTACAGCCTCAGTTCGTACTGCTGTCCTGACAGACAGCCCAATCCAGAGGTATGGAATCCCACACAACATAGCATCTGAGCATGGGACCCACTTGACAGTGACCATGGAATTCATGGGTCGGATTACATCCTGCACCAGCCAGAAGCAGCCAGGCTCACAGGACACTGGAACTGCCTTCCGGAAGGCACGGGTGAAGAACCAACTCATATAGTATTCAGAGGCAAAATACAGGTGCAATAAAGTGCCCCTTTATCCACGGGGAGGGGGGTACATTCCAAGACCCCCAGGGGATGCCTGACACTGCAGATCGTACCAAATCCCATATATACTACACTTTTCTCTTACATATACATTCCTGTGATAAACTTTAATTTATAAATTAGGCACAGTAAGGGATTAACAATAAAAAATAGAACAATTATAAAAATATCCTGTAATAAACTTTATGTGAATGTGGTCTCTCTCATAACACCTTATTACACTGTGTTCACCCTTTTTTTTTTCTTTTTGGTGGTGATGTGAGATGATAAAATGCTTTCGCGCTGAGAGGAAGTGAGGCAAATGATGTCGGCGTGGTGACGTAGCATTACTGTTGACCTTGCAATGATACATCAGGAGGATCATCTTCTTCCAGACTGTGGTTGACTGTGGACCACTGAAACCCCAGAACGTGAAACTGTGGATAAGGGGGGGGGGGGCTCCTGTACTCTAAAAGGCTGCAGGGCCACCTTTCAGGTCGTGGTATATGCTGCTGTGTTCCCAATAAAACATGGGTGTAGGAACCAAGGAGTAGAAGCGAGAGTCGCCCCATGCACCATCACCCCCCATGACTCACTGGGGGATTTTGTACTTGCTGTCCTCCCAACTGTGGGTCCTGCAGGGTTGGAGATGCTAGTTCCCAAAGGGGTTACACTCTCTCCAGGGGATGCAGCAGGGGTCCATTCAACTATAAGCTATGACTGCCACCCAGGGCACTTTGAGCTCTGTGTCCAGGGACCTGAAGTCAGCAAGTCATCATTTTGGTGGGGGTGACTGACCCTGATCAGCAGGAGGAGATAGGGCTGCTTTTATACAGTGGGAGCAGGGAGGAATATGCCAGGCACCTGGAGACACTCCTTTGCCCCCTTGTAACTGTGAACAGCAGTGTGCAGCAACCCAGCCTAATGATTGACAAGGGCACAGACTCTCCAGAATAAAAGGGACATTATAAAATATTTTATTAAAAAAAGAGATTGTTTGGGCCATATAGGGTTGATAACCATTGCAGAAGATCATAAGTAATGTTGATCATGAAAAAGTTCAAATAGGGGGCACCTGGGTGGCTTAGTGGATTAAGTGTCTGCCTTCAACTCCGGTCATGATCCCAGGGTCCTGGGATGGAGCCCCACATCCGGCTCCCTGTTCAGCGGGGAGCCTGCTTCTCCCTCTCCCTC